GTAGTAGGCTAGGAATTTATTGGACCGTTCAGAGTTCTCGGGGTGCGGGATTATTTCCTCGAAGTGACAAATTTGTCGCCCCACGTAACCAATAGATACTGTAATCTTCCGCGAAAAGAATGTGCGACGTATAATTTTGATTACTTCCACTTGATGCATTGTTTTCGCGTGGTTGCAATCTCCGCTTTGAATACAAGTGATAACATCGAGGAATACCCTGATAAAAAATATGCACATATGCAATGTACAATGCAAATTGAAATAACTTTGAATGATTTTTGTATTATGTAACAGCCCAAATAATATTTTTTTTAAATCGAACGATATCTAATAATAAATTTAAAAGGATTAATAGAAAAAAGATTAATAAAAAATAAAAGGGAACATTATAAAAGATATATTTTCCGTGATATGAAAAGACAAGTTATATAAATTTAAGTTTTCGATAATCATTATTAATAACATTATATCTATTCTCTATAATTAAACTTTATTTTATCATTAACGATAATACTGGTCCGCGTAGACATAGCATGTAACATTCGCTGCTTTGTGACCGTAGCAGATTAATGTGCACGGGAATCACGCGACTGCGTACACTCAAAGTATCCACCGCGTCGCGGGTTAACGAGAACAAAGTGAAAAAGAGATTCGCCCTGGGTACTCCGATTTCAAGCATTCGCCATGGTTACGAGGCATCGGTCTTTCCACGTGAGATACATCACCGTCCGTTACTGCGGAGATGCTTTGAGACAGACATGCTGCGCGTAGGTGTGCGTACGTATGTCTGTAGCATACGTGTGTAAGTGCATTCCCGAGGTAAAGATATTTCGGTCGCCGTGACACACCGGGAAGCTCACAAAACGAAAGAACAGCGTCGCCGAACTTGAGAGACAGCTTGACTTTACGCTGGCAGAACTGACCGATTCGTTCGGATGCAGAGACGATACCGCGATCGCCACTTTTAGATGTCGATGCTTTTATTCACTCAATACGGAGAGAAATAGGTAAATGTGATAAATGTGGCTTGAGGGTAACCAATATTTATTCATTCGATGTGGTAGAGTGAACAAGTGACAAATGTGAAGTCGGTTCCGTCCGTTTTGGTGCAGAAACATCACCGGAACACGTAAGCTTGGGTATATGTTTCCTTCCTTTTATAATACATATTTGCTTCTTGAATAAACTGATTAAAACGAGAAGAATTTTTGAATCTGCATCTGTTTCAAAGAATTTAATAAAATCAAATTTAAAATAAAAGATAAAACTTTTGTAATTTCATGATGATTTTATATACTAAAAATGTTGAATGTATAATATAAAATGAAATTACATAAATACTAATTTTTTATTTAATAAAAATGCTTAGATGATGAATGAGAAATCAACATGTTTTAATCTTGAAAGAGTACCATATATATATATATGTAGTATATTTTTGCTTACGTCATACATATCGAGGTTATGGCCTAAATATGTGGAAAAAGAAAAGTGTCAGGCATCAAGAGAAAACAGAAATATATTAGATGCAATATTTCAAAACAGATGCTTAGAATTTTTTTAATAATAACGATAATTATAATATTTTATGTAAAAAAAATAAAATTCGTATTTAAATTTCATTTTAAATTTTTATTTAGAAAAATTTAAAAGTGCAAATTATTCAAAAATATTATCTCTGCTAGTCTTTTCCGAGTTCTTCAAAGATGAATCTCGAATTGCGAAAGTCTTAAACATATTCCTCGGAATATTTTGTATGCGGCGGATGGGTAAAATGATACGAGGAACGGCGCAGACAGCTGGAAAAGTTGCGACTATATGCGAAACGCAGCTCCTATCTACGAATGACGTCGCTCGCAAAAGCTAGCTGGCGAAGCTTGTGTGAGCGAACGGATTCGTTTCAGAGAAATATCGTGACTTATCCTGCTACACTTGTCATAGGACATGTAAAATTTATGCTTCCATCATGCATTCGCGCAGCGGTTCTTCATCAGAGAAAAGAATTTGAATGATCGGGAGCACGCGACGAGGTCGACTATCGTGATGCTTAACATGACAATATGCATGCAAAGATACAGTTTTGCGTTTAATAATCTATAATTTTTATTCAATTCTCATTTGTATAAATTTTTGAATATAGATTTTTAAATAATTCAAAACTAACTATGTTAGTATTTAATTTAACTATGTTTATACGCAATTTTTCACAGCTTCTTAAAAAAATAATATCGGTAATATAAATCATTTTTTTAATCCTTTTTTTATCAAAATGTTGAATGAATATTTTAATTATTAAATAAGTCTTGTTTTTATTAATGTACTATAATCGATAAAGAAATGTATTAATATTAAAATTATTATTATTATGTACAAAAGAGAAATACTAAAAGCTTGGTACGTTAATATTTCGTATTGGATTACAGATTAAAATGCTGTATAACACGCATGCGAGTTTAAACAACAAAATCGATTTGCCATCCAGAAAGTTCGCGTCAAAGTTCAAGCTTTCGAGCAAGCAAATTTGCTTTCGCGATCTACTTTCATCCGATTGTGCTAACACTGCGAGTTTCCGTGCGTCCCGCAAGGAACTATCGACGTCAAATCTTCTTCCACGAGTACGCGAAGGAAGGATACCATGGCAAATATTTATTTACCACACTTTTTTCAAATTGATATGAAGGTAGAATAAAGGGAGATAAAGAATTCATCGAGCTGGCATCACAATTTTGTGAAGAAAAATATTTTTTTTCACCGAAATCAAGTATTTATAGAGCAAGATACATATATATTTAAAAGTAAAGATGTGCACCTTGATGGGAAAATTTTGAAGATGTGGAAAATAACTAGAGACGATGAGAAAATATACGAATCTTTTTTGTTGAATCACACATGAACCTTGCTACCTTTCCTGAAGAATCATTCTTTTTATTTTTCAAATTACGTAATAAGTTATTCAAGCATATTTATGGGATGTCGACTTACATATCGAGCGATATCAAGCAAGATGAAATATTAATAAGCACTACAGACAACAATACTCAAGCATATTCATTTCTGTTCACATTTCCAAGCCATTTGATAATAGAACCCGATTTAATTCAAACAATTCTCAAAGTGTTTTTCAAATACATTCAAAAATTAATTATAACAATTATTGATCTAATGATATTATTAGATTATAATGATTATTCTATTATATTCTTCTTTTATTTATGGAAAGTAATTAGAAATAACTCCTTTAGATGCTTTAAAAAAATGTTTTTTTTGTTAAATAAAATTCGAAAATTAAAAGTAAGAGTTCTAGCTATACGACTGGAAAGTTACGGAATCGATTTACTGATACGCAAATAATGGTATTCAAACATCCGCCACCATGCGTATATATAACGTAAAATGCGCTTTGTTACATCAACGGAGTTTTTGCAGCGACTATCGAGGTGACAGTACGAGAGAAGGTCGTGAGATAATAATTATCGCGACAATGGCCTTAACTGTTACCAGCGCAAGTCGTAGACATTAATGATAGAGACATCGACCGATAACGATGCACGTACATCAGAGAAATATCCTATGTGTTACAACGCGATTAAGTCATCCTTGTGCGAGATTCATTACGAGATTCTCAATCAACGGAATTCATTAAAAATGGGTATTGATTTAGAATAATTTTAACAGAGAGGAGGGAACAAGCTTTAATTTCTAACCGTGTGAAAGATAGTTTATATTTAATATAAATGGAGTGTATTATTGTAAAATATATTTTTAACTTTAATATTTTTGCTTAGAATTATATTAAAAAATTATATTAAAAAATATAAACGAGAAAATATATAAGTACAATAGTGTTTTGTAGAAAATGTTTCAAATAGATGAATAATTTGTAGATGTATTTATTGATCCCGCTGGATATATGTACATAAGAAAGTTAGTAGTCTGATATATTTATGCAAGTCCGAAATCTCCTCTGGATATGTTACCATTATGATATCTGTATATTAAAGTTAAATTATGGCGAACTGTGCATTATCTTAAGCTTCTATAAGCAAGTTAGTTTATATAATAAACTATGTAATAGTATTTTAATTTTTACGACCGGTATATATATATTCTTTGATATAATATATATTTCTTTAGAATAAACTGCGAATAAAATAAGAATTGACTTGTTAACAGTTTAAAAATGTTGATTATTAATGACAATTTTCGTGTTAAATAAAAACAATGTTTATATATATATATATGTATCAAAAGCTAGAAAAATATTAATTTATTTCCTCTTTAACAATTATTTATAGATCGATTATATAATTCCCATCTGAGAATGGGAAAACAAAAAGATAATATATTCATACGAAATTTCTCGAGAAATTATGTAGAGAACTAATGTAACTTCCTTTCGATGTCATATATATGATAATATTTAATTGATGAAAATTCGCAAGAATTTGCAGAAATCATCGGCGAACATTTTACATGAATTGACATTATAATCTTTTCGCAGTGTGAGAAGCGGAGATAAGGGGGGACATTTTCACGATATATTTGCGAAATGATGATGGGACGACCGGCGCGGAGCGACAATCAGACAGACAGACAGACAGACGATCGACATGTCAATCGCGTCGGTTCGCTGCTCGACTGTCGTGAACGGCGGCGAATATGACCCCCTCCCTCCCTCTCGCCGAATTGTTATCGAAAGCGAGGCAAACCGGCGGGCGAAGATGGACATACCTATGTAGATATATACACGTATGCATAGCGTGCATCGGAATCGCGGATAAATGGCGCCCCGCGCGTCGCTGAGAAATCTGGCGTACTCGGGCGCGCGGCGGGACGCGGGACACGCTCTCCCAACCATGATTATTGCACCGATAAATGGCGACGCGGAGCGGCATCCCTCGCGTCGCGCGAGCGCGTCCATTCGTTCTTGCGAGCGAAATGGAATAATGGAATAATGCAAGGGCTTAAGGCGCACGATAATAATTGAGGGACGCACTCACCCTATGTCCGGATTCCTCGAGTCGCTGCCTTTTCGAGTGCGGACCGTCTCCGTTGAATGCCATCCTACGTTGAATACCGGGCGACGCGTTTGAATTGGAGCACTCGGCGTTGCGACAACAACGACGACGACGAAGGACAAACTACGGCAACGACGACGGTGACGACGATGACGACGGTGACGACGACACGAGGGTATTGTGTATACCGCTCGCAGTTCTTCCACACCGTGCCGACGATCTCGTGCGCGCGAACGGGGGAGGGGAAAGGAGGAGAAAATAATAATCGGTAGGATGCACGACGCGAGACGAGAACAGACAAACGCGCGAGAGCGGCTTAAGGGAAACTGTGCCTAGATCTCGCCGGACGAACGTCAACGCTTCGTGAGAACTGACGACCGGGCTAGCGCGACGCGCCCTACCGGCGGCGCCGTCAAACATTTCGAGTCTTTAAGATGTCGACAGTTGCGCGCGCACAGCTTCGCCGTGTATCGTCTTTCGATTGGTCCACCAGTCGTACGCGCGACGCGCTGCCGTGTTTCTATTGGAGGCTTGCAACTACACAGATTTTCATGAGAAATTGTATTCGAAAATTACGCGGCATATCATACGATTGCATTTCTAGAGAAACTAGAGTCTAATCTGTTTATTTAACGAGTATGGGATCGAACGCGTGAAATATCGAGGTTTGTATATTCAGGAAAACAAGATCAAATATATGGCAGAGTTAAATTTTTTTAGAGTGAATTTTTATTATAAATAATCTGGCGTACTCGGGCGCGCGGCGGGACGCGGGACACGCTCTCCCAACCATGATTATTGCACCGATAAATGGCGACGCGGAGCGGCATCCCTCGCGTCGCGCGAGCGCGTCCATTCGTTCTTGCGAGCGAAATGGAATAATGGAATAATGCAAGGGCTTAAGGCGCACGATAATAATTGAGGGACGCACTCACCCTATGTCCGGATTCCTCGAGTCGCTGCCTTTTCGAGTGCGGACCGTCTCCGTTGAATGCCATCCTACGTTGAATACCGGGCGACGCGTTTGAATTGGAGCACTCGGCGTTGCGACAACAACGACGACGACGAAGGACAAACTACGGCAACGACGACGGTGACGACGATGACGACGGTGACGACGACACGAGGGTATTGTGTATACCGCTCGCAGTTCTTCCACACCGTGCCGACGATCTCGTGCGCGCGAACGGGGGAGGGGAAAGGAGGAGAAAATAATAATCGGTAGGATGCACGACGCGAGACGAGAACAGACAAACGCGCGAGAGCGGCTTAAGGGAAACTGTGCCTAGATCTCGCCGGACGAACGTCAACGCTTCGTGAGAACTGACGACCGGGCTAGCGCGACGCGCCCTACCGGCGGAGCCGTCAAACATTTCGAGTCTTTAAGATGTCGACAGTTGCGCGCGCACAGCTTCGCCGTGTATCGTCTTTCGATTGGTCCACCAGTCGTACGCGCGACGCGCTGCCGTGTTTCTATTGGAGGCTTGCAACTACACAGATTTTCATGAGAAATTGTATTCGAAAATTACGCGGCATATCATACGATTGCATTTCTAGTTCTAGAGAAACTAGAGTCTAATCTGTTTATTTAACGAGTATGGAATCGAACGCGTGAAATATCGAGGTTTGTATATTCAGGCGCGAAAAACAAGATCAAATATATGGCAGAGTTAAATTTTTTTAGAGTGAATTTTTATTATATATATGTACACGATTTTTATGTACAATGATTCGAAATTATATGCAATTATATTTTGATCGAACTTGCGAAAAGCATATTTTTACCTTCGAATTATATTGTGCAAAATTATAACAAAAAAAATATTGAATTATACATAAAATTATGAAAGCATAAAATAATTTCATAAAAAAAAACATGAAATAAATGTTTAATATTTAATTTTTTAAGCTTTATATTAACAAAAAAGGAAAGATTCAGACATAATTAAAAGAGCAATTGTTCGGTATTCTTCATTGAGTACAGTAAAAAGTTTCGAGGGGACAATCTCGCATCAAAGATAGGTTTCAATACTGGAGATAATTGATTTTCTGATAAATATAGAAATCTGTCCAATAATACCATAGTTTCCACTAATGGCGCTAACATCGTACGTAATGCGCCGAATATTACAATATGCTGCCATCGACTTAGATAAAACTTTATTTGCGAATTCTGAAAATCTGAATCTTTAGGTCGGAGATGTGCCTTGAAATTTGCAGTTGCGGCTGTACAATATCTGTAACAATACAAGCACATTTGATTATTTATAATGATACATGTTTAGTTATAATAATACAAACGTTATATTCATTTTACTCAACTGTTCAAATGTCATAGATTTTGTCACCTTGACATTTTTCACTTGAGTATGACATAATTGTTTATCCCGTTTTATTAGAATGGTTTCTAAAACAGCTCTATAAGCATGCACCTAAAACATTACACAATTTAGTAATAACAGCTCTATGATATATTTCAGAATATATAATACACTTAACTATTAAATCTTTATAGTTCCCAGTTTTGAGTTTATCACAGTAATTCTCAATAGCATGACATGCTACTTCTAATGCTGTATAGGATAACTTGCAATTTGCAGATGATGATAGATATTTACTTAATGGATATCCATTGAATTCACCCACTGGATATCTAAATATTTTATTTATTATTTAGTACAATTGTAATATCAAAAATATGATATTATACCCCATAGTATTTCACAGACATACTCTAATGTTAATTTCATATAACAGCATCCGACGATACAAATGAATCTTGTTTCACATTGAGATGTATAAAGTTTCAATAATGTAGCTGCAAGATCTCCACATGGATGTAATCCCACAATTCCAAACCCAGAGTTTTTTTCACTTAGATTAAAATCATTGGAAAATATTTTTCTTATATCTTTGATTGTCTTTGATTGATCAGAATTAGTATTTTCCAGTTTGATTGATACATGTTGCGGAAGATTCACTGGTAAGTCAGGCAAATGTTTAGATAAGGATACTAATAATTCTTTATCCCATTTCCTGTCGATGAAAAATTATTAAATAAATAATATTGCTAATAAAATTAGAAATTACTAAAACTAATTAAAGAAACTATTGAAAAAACATTCAATTACCCAGCTTGCTGTGACAATTCTGTATCTTGTTCAATGCACATTACACATAAACCATGTTTAAATGCCAAGGAGCGAGCTAAATGGCCCATTCCTGCACCAATATCCACAATACATCTTGTATTGGACTCTTGTGCACAATCTGCACATATCTATATAAACAAACCGTTACCGGAAAATCTATAAATAATTTATATATCTAATTTGTTATATATTACTTTAAAAGAGCTTATTTAATTGTACCTGTGCTATCTGTTGTATCTCGTGTCGTTTTTTTATCTTAACATGTTTCAAAAAGAGATTATTATGTTTGTTCAAAGTGACATGTATGTCGTGCGTTCTTTCATTCTTATTTTCCACGATAAAATTCTTCGAATCGCATTTGGATTCTTTTGCTCTGCCGCATCGCAGGATGCTTCTGTCATTTCGATGATCTCGGTTTAGTTGTAAATCCTTTGTTATTTGTCGAAGCGCAAGCAATGACAGTGGCCATATGCGTTTGCTACGAGATGAATTATATTATATTTAATTATATTATATAGTATCTATTACATTACGCAGAATAAAACAAATATGAATCCATTGCTCTATTTCTATTACATGAACCCTGAAAATTCATAGCCTATATATATACTAATAATATTATATATATATATATATATAGGGAGAGAGGGAGAGAAGTACTGGCAATCTTTATCAAAACACAGCTAAACTCGTATGACATCCAAAATCACTGGATTGTCAGACGTATGGATTGGCTACGAATAGAGAATTCCCCAAATCCCTATCGAAACTCTAGGAATTCTCCATCCAATAATCAATCAACATTTTGTCACGGAAATTCGTACCATAATAAATCATATAGTTTCATCAAATATCTCTAGATGCGCATTATCGATCAAAGTGAGATGTACGCCTAACTTACCACGAGATGTCATTAGCTAACCATTTCCCGAACTCTTCAGGTGACACAGTTTGCAAAACGATCTTCCAACTGCTCGGTAGCTTTTCCCATAATTGTTCCTGGAAGAAATCCTACAAGACGAATTTTTCCGTTTATAATATTCGTTTATGAAAGATTTATAAGAAATGAAAGGAGAGATGTGTACAAAATGTATATCATATGTTCACACGACGGTACATATATTAGGTCCGAAAGTGAATTATCGTCCGAAAAATCAAAATACGGGATGAATGCCGAAGATAATCTTTATTGAGCTACGTACCACGACATACGAATCTAACAACCAGCCGTATATATCTAGTACATTGAGGATTTGTTGGATTGTAACGCGAACTTTCGAACAGACTCTACATGTGCACGTAACTATGGGACCAGCCATTGTGTCGAGATGGACGGTACTGAGTTTGTATATCGCGAATTGTTCTCACGCGCAGGTTAGCACATTTTTTTTTTTTTTTAAGTTTACATTGTTTATGTACTTATTTTTTGTTTTAACTAATAATTATCTACGCTATTTATTATATAAATTTATTTTATTTATGAAATTGTGATATAAATAACTGTTCATGATGAATTCCATGTTAAAATCTATACTATATATAATTTTTTTTATCTATTATTTGAAATTTTATTAGAGAAAGTCACATTATCTATTATAAAATAAGTGGCTACATGAAATTTATTGCACATGAAATGAAAAATATACTATATATATGTATGAATTTTACATATATGTTATTTAATAGTTTTTTATATAGCATTAATAATATAACTTATTATTACAGATTATACATTAATAGTAAAGAAATTTTAATGTGTATAATCATTTTTTGGTATTTATTTTAATCTTGTAAAAATAACGAATAATGTTCACAATTTAAAAATTGAAGTTAGGGTCTTCCTTACTAATAAAAATATATATCACTGCTAGTATGAGTGATTTAGCCGAGGAGAAAGTTGATACTACTAATTATTCATCACGTTCTTTATGATTTATTTAAATTAATAGTGATAAAATACTGAGAGAGATATTTAGAAAATTGCGATAACATTTTGAATCAATTGAAAAAGATGATGGGAAATGATTTTCCGACAAGGCTACACCGACATTGCAGCGCGTACGAAGTGCAATGCGCTGAAATAGAAAGTGCAGCGAGCATAACATCAATTATAGACAATTTTTCGTCTCTCAAAGTATGTAATTATATAACGCAGTTATGTGTTTTCCGTTTATATATAGTCATGATACTTATAGATATCTCAGAATGTCTCATTAAAACTTTTCTTCATTTTAAACTCAATTTAAGAAACTGGCATAAAGTTTATTGTTTCATATAAATATCTTTATAATTAAAAGTCTTACAAGCATATGTATTACAATACATCGCGTGTCAGTTTCGGTTCGGCACTATTTCTTAATTACTTTAGATTTGCGCATAGCGTGCAACACTTGTAGATTATGAAATCATTTTCTCACACTGGAAAAGATGAGTGAGAATTTTCCGTAATGAATTAGATCACTGTAGATGAGATGGGATTGCAGAAATGACATATATCGTTGTATGTCACTAGAATTAAAAATAAACATAAAAGAATTTTTGTATAAATAATCAGACAAATAAGTATATAATTATATGACAATAAACATGCATCATATTATAGTTAAATAATATTTATAATATAATCTAGTGCTAAATAATTTGTAATATTCTAATGTTAAATAATATTAAACAATCTATATTAGGATATAATGTGAAAATTATTTTTAGCGTTAATTTTATTTTTTTTTCTCTTTCTTTTTATAAGATTTATTTTTAATTATTTAGTTGAAAACATAATATGTGTTATATTTATATTTTAGCGGAAAATGAATTTAACGGTGATATTTTTTATATAATTGCTACCAACAAGCAACATTTTATTTAAAAAGAGAAAAAGAAGGGTAGAAAATTTTTAAAAGTAATAATGGACATTATCTTTAAATCACTTTTTCTCTTTATTAAAATTTCTAATATACATTTTTTAGCATGATTGGAATTTTATACATTTACAAAATTCGATTATCATTTCCTATAAAGATATCGTGCGAAAGTCTTGAAAAAGCGAGCGTGGAAAAGGTCTCGATCATTAACCGAGCATGGATATCAAGGTCTCATAAAAAATGTCACATTGAATTGCAGAATGACGATGAGAGCCGTTTGTAGGCTTTGTTTATTAATTATAAGAGTGAACGTTATTCCCGCGGCGTTCCACTTTACGGTACTTTCACTCTTCAACAGTTACGTTATTGCTCACATGAAGGTACTGCTCTCGAACAACTATAATATATGTATAGTTAGCGACTACGCGCTCGTAGGAGGATCGTATCATCCATAGTTTCATGAGAACTGGGTAAATCAAATTCGCGCAATCTTTTGCCATCATGGTTACGGAGATCGGTCTTGTAATCGCAAAGAGGGAGATGACGTGACAGAGAGTCGTTCTGAGGAAATTTCCACGCTCTTCGTGCGTGAATACGCGGCTCGATGGCAAGTATAATAATTGGGTAGCATAATGTAAAATATGCGTGCAACACGTAAGATATAAATATTGGACGATAAATTGTTAAACCTCTGCAATAGCTAATCTCAATCAAAAAATTTATTTAATTGCATAAAGATAATTGTGTTAGTTGTATTGTAGAAAACCGGTTAGAAAGTATCGTTTCCGGAAAACATATACATATAATTTTGTCGCTGGGCAAAAATGTTTAGCTCTTGTACAATGATACTATCTTTAGTAATATATCTCGATAGAATATCGTGGATCTATAGATAAAGTAAATGCAATCTCGATATGAGACAGATGGAGGGAATATAGTCATATTATATATAGTTACCATTTAATCTAAATAAAAAACTAAATAATATATAATAGTTTCTAAATAAATAATTTCTTAATAGAAATTCATTTAATATTGAGGAATTAAGTTATATAAAATTTTATTTATATAAATATATATAATAATATCAGAAATTAAAAATAATACATTAATTTTACAATAAAAAAAGGTTGGACAGTTACATGACAGCATATATTTGCCATGTTTTGAGAGCGGATTTCCTTAAACCACGGAGAAAACAGCTTGCAAATAGTTAGGAACTTGCTACTTGGCTCCTATGGTGCCGTAGAAAAGTGATAAATCGTTTTCGCATGCGAGATTATATTCGGTTAGAGAAGAGAGTATCCAGCAATGTGATATCGTTTCTCGGCAAAGTGGCGATAAATCAACGTAAAATATTGTTTTGGTTCGCGAATTACTGATCGTCTCAGACGAATGAACAGACGGATTCTGTATTTATCATCTTCGAGTTTGCCGGCTAGCCGGCTGTTATTCGGACCCTCTTACGCCAACGTATAAGTGAAAGTTAGCAAGTAGGACGCGCGACGTCCAATCTCGATGCCGATGACGTCTGGATGTCCGCAAGAGACTCGAATCGCCACCGCCAATGCCGGACTATCGATTCTGTCGCCGAAAAATTAATGAATGCCGATATTAAATCACCAAACTCCAATCAGGGATGGATCCTTCCGCGGCTTTCGAAATCATACAATACTCTCTCGCCGTAATCCGTCTCTCATAAGGCTCGTCCCGATTTATTTCCCCTCCGAGCGATCGAAGGCTATCTCTTGAAGAAGTTCAGGAAGACGATAGAAAATCATACCGGTTTTGATGATCGGCCGATCTAGAAAAGAAGGCGGTTGCACAAGTATAAACGCGAGAACTTTACATCATTCTTGCAGAGCACTTTTGCAATCGAAGGTTCTCCCCCAGGTCATCTCGTTCAATTGCTCCATTAGATCCGCGTCTTTCGTAATGATGAGCATGATTTGTACACAATCTGCTATTATCTCTTGCGACTAAACGAGTTACCTCAGATTTCCTCGTATCATATCTAGAAAAATGTTTCATGTAATTTATAGGTCAGATCTGTCAAACGTTGACGTAACAGGATTCTAATAATCTCTTGCGCTATATGCGAAATCTTTTATAAAAGACACAAAAAGAGTCTTGGTATGTAATATCATTTTAGTCATCATTCTAATTATTGTTTGAAATAACATATTTAATTACATTTATGAAATTACATTTTTGAAGCTAAATATATATATAATGATATATTCCGTCTTTTCTTTACATGCATACTTTCAAAACTTATTTTTTATATAAACATACAATTATATATATATGTAATTGTATGTTCATACATAAAAATAAGTTTTAAAAGTACACATACACACGCGTAAAGAGAGAAAGAAGAGATGGAATATCACTGTTGTAGAAAATATTCTATAAGAAAAAAGAACAATTTCTATTCTTACATTTCTGTAAAATTAATCAAAATTGCTTTCGCTTTTAGAGAATTCATTTGCAATATGCAATGTACTTGCACTAAAATTTAAAAGCGTGGATGTGAATACAATCATTATTCGAGAGGAGCAAGATCCACAAGGGAAAGTCAATGGCTAAAATACTAATGATAATATAATTGTAGACACGATTTAATCATCATATCCATCACAGAGATGGAGCAATATATATATAATGATATATTCCGTCTTTTCTTTACATGCATACTTTCAAAACTTATTTTTTATATAAACATACAATTATATATATATGTAATTGTATGTTCATACATAAAAATAAGTTTTAAAAGTACATATACACACGCGTAAAGAGAGAAAGAAGAGATGGAATATCACTGTTGTAGAAAATATTCTATAAGAAAAAAGAACAATTTCTATTCTTACATTTCTGTAAAATTAATCAAAATTGCTTTCGCTTTTAGAGAATTCATTTGCAATATGCAATGTACTTGCACTGTTTAAAAGCGTGGATGTGAATACAATCATTATTCGAGAGGAGCAAGATCCACAAGGGAAAGTCAATGGCTAAAATACTAATGATAATATAATTGTAGACACGATTTAATCATCATATCCATCACAGAGATGGAGCAACAATAAGAGCTGTAATAATCAATCGTCGATTTGTTAATAATCGAATTTATATATTTTTTCTTGTAGACAAGAATCATTGAACGCGGATCGGAAACGATCACCTGTCTTAAGGAAGTCGCAGCTTAGCGCAGATTATCCCATAGGGAAAGTAATCGTGTTCGCTCGGATTGACGGCATAAAGAGACTTAGCACGACTCTTTCACCGAATAGTCCTCGGTACGCGCGACCGCGCCGAGGGAAGAAAGAAAGGCAGGTTTCGATTTCGATGGGCCTTGGAGGTCGCGGAAGAGTGTAATGCCGTTTAGTATAATCGTCCCCTCCACGCTCGATTGGATAGATTTGAAGAAAGTCGTCGTTGTAAAGAAGATACTCTCCATACCGCGCGCATCTCTTTCTCTCTTTCTCTCTGTCTCTTTCTTTTTCTTTCTACCGTCTTCAGTTATGTATGCATCTACATGCACCATGGACACAAATACCAATGAGACGTATGCACACCGAGGGGCCCCGGAGAAAGGTGCTGCTCCACCGTCTTCAATATTAGAGAGGAGCTTCTTGAGGAGCGGTGGCCTCAAGGTGGTGGTGGCATCGAGTAGGGAGAAACGGCCCCTGGGCTTGATCTGTCCTCAGTTCCCATGCGAGGCTTCGCTCGATATCGTCCAAGACACGCACAATTGTCTCGAGCGGTGTCATGTCGCGAGTCAGCCGTCTCTAACGCGAGAATCGGCCGGTGAAAGAAGTGCGTGACCCTTTCCGCGCGGACCAAACGAGGAAAAGCGAAGAACAACGACTACAACATGCGATTCGCTAAGCTGGTAACTATTATTATAACAGGCCGCGTTCGCGAGGAGGGCGAAGATGGACCCCTTAGATCCAGACCGCTTTCATCCTAATAAGCGTGTCGCGTGAAACCTTCTCGATACTATCATTTGCAATCAGCGAGCGTATCGGCGCTCGTGAAACGGCGAAAGTGCATTAATAAAACTCGCTGGACGCGACCGGCAACGAAACGACCGATAATCTCTGCGCAGATAATTGACCGTTTATAATTGCAGACGTGTTTCATCATCAATATCGCTTTTCTTTCAGTTAGTTTCGCAGCTTTGAATGCGGCTTCGAAACGTGCGCGCATCTCGTGTTAAAAGAGATGCTCGAGGCCTTATTCGAATATGTTAACCAGTGCCGAGAGAGGCACCGAATTCTCGAGGTGAAACGCGACGCCATACAATCTTGAACTTTGATTCTCTCTTTCTTTCTCCTTCACCCACTTTTCGATTGACTTCAAAAAGATTAATCGACCACATTGAAGTATATCCTATTGCATGGCGATTTATATATATTTTTGAAATTGTAAAAAAGAATGATTAGATTTAATTATATTTTTTAATTAGTTTATTACTTTATTATAAAAAAATTATGAGAATGTCATTTAATCTTGTCAATAATTACGTCAATGGAACACATGCAATCTCTCGGTAATAAAAGTTTTGGGAACCGGGTGATTTCAAAGAAACGAGAAATGTTCGATATGTCACAAGTCGGCCTCGCCATATCGAGAGCACGATCACAACTGGGAATCGCTTATCAGGCTAACTGTTCCTCGATTCTCGCTAGCATACTAATCGATCCGAGGCTTGTTAAGGTCTTGAATGTGTTTTCTGGTTATTAAACGGGTTACTCGGTTATCAGAGCGCGTAAAGTCTCCCTTCTTTACATTTTCGCTTGTTCCGCTAATCGATTCGAAACGGTGATATCATCGATCCATTAGACTATATCAATCGATATAGATCAATGTGCTACTTTTCAGAAGATTGAATTATTACTAAAAAGATTATTAATGTTTTATCGGATTTTGTGTAAGTTAGCGCTAGAAAAAAGAACTTACTTCTCTTATACTTGAAATTTTTAAATTTATAAATATTAGTTTTATAAATCAATATGACCACATCCACATTTTTATGAAATAAAAAAACTTTGTCGATGCGCCGATTCTTTCTTTTTTTCTAGGCATTCTTGGGGGCGACACTCCTCGTCGCCGCGGCTTTCGCCAAGGAGGAGAGCTCGTCGTCGAAGAACCGCGACAAGCGTCAGCAACTCGCCTTCCACTTGCGAAAGGGCGGTCGTCTGCCGCCATATGCGGTGCAGATGGAACCGATAGTGCAATACTCTCAAAGGGATCCTCTGTATAATCCCTTAGCGAGCCCGAAGAGTGACGATCTGTACGAGGAGAGTCCGCTGAGCTATTATCCAACGGAACCTGAGCCGATCATTGAGATCATCATTAAGGAATCTAATGAATCTCTGCCGACTCCGGTACCACCGCCGCCTCCATCTCAACCACGTCCCACTAAGGAACCTATTCAGGTGTTCTATGTGAAGTACGAGAAGAAAAAAGGTTACGGTGACAAGACTCGCGTCATCTACGATCCGCCGATTCCCGCGCTGACGCCGGTAGAGGAGCACGAGGAGATTAAACCGGATAATCACGCGCCGTATGCTGAAGAACCGACACAGACGGCGACGTTGGCGCCGCTTCCGGAACCATCGACGACTTTGCGCGCTATCATTCGACCCGACAGCGAAGTGTATCACTCTGGCGGTAGCGGTATCCGCGTAACCTTCGGCACCGAACAGATACCACCCAATAGTCACAACAAGCGGAATGACGTGGAAACGCCCAGGAACAATGCGCAACAGCATACTAGCAAACCGACAGCGTCTCCAGGATCGCCGAAAAGGCAGCACGGTCCGTATCAGCCGCTGCAACCACCGGTGCATCCCCCGCGAGTGCCACCTGCATTCCCGCAACAACGTATCGTTAACTCGTTCCCACCTCAGCAACAAGCGCTGCAGCAACCGCCGACGTTTTTACAGCAGCAGCAACAGCCGCCGACGTTCTTGCAACAGCAGCAGCAGCAGCAGCCGCCACCACCGCCACCGCCGCCGCCGCCGTCGCATCATCAGGCGTTTCCGCCTCAGCAACCCTTAAGAAATCTGCCGTCACCGCCATCGAGACAGCCGCAGCGGCATCCCATAACGATTCAGGGTTTACCGGAAGTGCAACAACGCGCGCCATTCAACAGTTTTGGTCCGCCGCCGCATCGTGTCAACATCAATCACCCACAGCAACCCGGATTTCCGCCTACTTTATCAGTGTCGCATCAGAGTGTGCACTTGCAGAATCAACCGGCACCGTTACCGCAAAATAACTTCGCGGAACCGCCTCAACAACCATCCCAACAACCGCTATCCATCAGACCTGGAGGCTTTAACCCGGAATCCTCGCAACAACCTTTGTCCAGACCAAACAGTTTCAATGTTGAGCTTCCACCGCAATCGTTACCTCCGTTCAAGCAGCAGGAACTGGAGAAGCAGCGATATCACGAGCAACGACGACAGCAAGAGTTGTTAAAACAACGGGAACATCAACGACAACACGAGCAGCAGCGACATCAGGAACACCAACGATTTTTGGAGCAGCAAAGACAAATCGAGCAACAGAGATTGTTAGAACAGCAGAGACAGCAGGAACATCAGAGACAACAGGAGCATCAAAGACTCCAAGAACAGCAACGATTGCAGGAACAACAACATCTACAGGAACAGCAACGTCTACAGGAACAACAGCAATTGCAAGAGCTACAACGCTTGCAGGAGCAACGTAGGCGGAAGCAAGAACAAGAGCAAAAGCTTCTTCAAGAACAACAACACTATCACGCGCAGCTTAAATATAATCAGCAGCAGCTTCAACAACCGCAACGGCCGGCCGGTGAAATCTTCAAAGCTGTCCCGAAACTGGAGCAGCATTATGCAATCAGAGAGAATCCGCTTCATCCCGGTCCGTTCCCACCAAATCCCACGGTAGTGCAGTCAACTGCATTCCCTGAAATTTCTCAGAACCAGTTTGTCTCAGCGCAACCGCTCAATATTCTTCACGATCCCCAACAACTTTCCGGGAATCTACCGAATCGTTTCATCTCCGCCGATATTCTTCAACAGCAACATCAACAATTAAATACGAAACATCAGATATATCAAAATAATCAACAGAGTTTCTCGCAAAATCGTCCGACGCCGCAACAACGACCGCAGATTGCTTCCTCTCAACAGCAATCTATATGGGGCAGTCGACCGGTATCCCAAAACAATCCTACGCAGAAGATCTATGCGACACCAGTTAGCCCTTCTGAAGAGTTCAACTCGTTGTCGACCGTCAGAACGTTCTTACCCACGACGACAACGACGACAACGACTACCACTACCACGACTACCACTACCGAGGCACCAACAACTACGCTCTCGCCGAACAAGGCGGCCAAGATCAAGGAGAACATCGCCAACCTGCCAGACGAAGTACCAGATGATATCAGGGAACAGCTACTGAGTTCTGGAATCTTGGGCAATGCCGACATACAGATTCTCGATTACGACAAGATTGGCGACATACCGATCGAGAAACTACCGCCGGAAGCGCTGGCGAATTTCTATGGCGCCGGAGGCGGTGCGGCGATCGCCGCCGGCAGCGAGCCCGTGCCAGCGATCGTTAAGAGGCCGGTGACGAAGACAACGCAGCGTATAGCGAGCCGAGATGACTCGCCGTCGAAGAAGACCGTCTCTGGCAGCGGCGTCTCTGGTGGCTCAACTAAGTTCGAACAGGCTACCTTGCGACCCGGCGGCGTTGAGATGAAAGTAGTACGCTTTGATCCGAATACGGAGCAAGGCCGGGCCGTGGCGGAGCAGCACATACGAGACGATGCGACCCGGCTCGAGCCAGTGACCGTGGGAGCGGACGGAGACCCCGTTCAATACAATCGTTACCTACCGCTTAAAGTGAGCGGTACGTCCTTTCCGATACCGGACGTGCCAGAGCTCAACGGCCGTAGGATCTCGAGCGTCGTAGTGTTAGCACCTGTCAACTACAACTTTCTCAGCGGCGAGGAGAAGGAGATCACAGACTCGCAACGACGCGGCAGAAAGGCCGGTGGCGATGTGCAGCCGGTCAGATTTCTCGCTGGTGACACCCTCAAGCAGCTCGTGAAGAAGCCCACCGCGGAGAACTATAAGAAGTGGCTCGAACATGAGAGCCGCACCGAACCGCAGAGGCAATCGGTCGTGCTCCTTGTGACCATGTGAGTATCGATTATCTTAACGAGCATTACGTGTAGATTATTGCGTAATTCGTTTTTCATTAATGCTTTAAAATACTTTTTATGTTGATTAGATCTGTTGTATGAAATTTTTATTATATTAATATCAGTATTAAGCAATGACTGTTTCTTTTTGTAATGTTTTTTTTTTTAAATTGCATTATTTTATAATGGATAGAGATTTATAATATGGCACACAAAACTGAACTTATGTATTTTCAAACTTAATAGGATTATTGATTAAATAAAAATTTCTTTATTTCTATTTCCTTAATGTGTATATATTATTAAATATTCTCTAATTTAGTAAATATTTTAACACTTGTTATTTGTTTTTATTTTGTTAATTCGTTATCCATTAGTTTAAATTTTTGTTAAATTCTTTACTATTTCTGAAATCTTGTAATTTTGTATTAAGATTTCACGATCCTCTTCGTAATTTTGTCTTTTCATTCTTATGTTATATGTACCCAGACAGCACAAGTATGTCCTTAGGACATCCAAAGGGCATCCAGGACATACATGTAGGATATCCTGAGGATATCCTATTTTAATCCTCGGATCTCCTCTGGATGTCCTGAGGAAGAGTAAATGATAGCCGTACACTAGCCTCTGGAGAATCCAGGGAGACCCTGTGGAACATCTTAAGGATTTCTATAGGATATGTTAGGGATATTTTTCATACGTTAAAAGGAACAAATTCTAAAACTTAAATATAAATTAAGATTGCGATCTGTTATTTACTGCCAATACTAAAAATCTAATACTAAAAATAGTTCACGTTCTTTAAAATTTGACGTTTTCGTGCTGTACATGAATATTTTAGGTTTGGCTTCCGGGTTTGAGTCGTGTAATAATTTCAAAACAATCCAATATCTGAATTCCCTATGTTAAGATTGCATCAGAAATTGAACTGATAAAAAATAATTATATTTTTAATTTCCTGTTAGTTGCTCTTTGCAAGCTTTATATAATTCTCATGACCAAATCTCAAATACGAGTTCGCGCGTCGCATAGCGGTAAACAAACGAACTAGCGGTTGAATACTATTTTTTGTAAAGTTTTTGGAATGTTGCGCATAGTAACATTTCTCATGAAATATTAAATAAATAATAATTTTGAATATATGAAAATGTGCGCAACAAATTCAATTATTAATATTAAACGAAATTAATGTTAACAATTAATTGCACATGTATATGTCCTCTGGAAATCCAAAGGACATTTAATATAATAGACAGGGCAGATATCCTACAGACATCCATGGGTTATCCAATGGACATTTATAGGACATCATTAATACTTATTACAATACTTAAAATTTCTAAATTATATTAAAAAGCCTACATAACCGAAAGTAATCATGTATGCATATTAAATTTTCATAAAATATATTTATAATAATATCTTAAAACATCCTACAAATATCCTGAACCATCCTGGACATATTCAGGATGATCCTGAGGACGTTTTGTGCTGTCTGGGTATGTATCATACTAACTAGTCATTTTCTTCACTAAGTTTTTAACATGTACGACTAACACATTTTCTCACCGTGTATTATTATCGATGATTTGTCTATTCTACGAATCTACTTGAAAGTAACTGTCGTATAAATAAAATAATTAAAATGAGAAACTATGTAAACAGCAAAATTTTATATTAATGTAGTCCGATGCAACGTGTTGCATGCACTGCGGGCATCGAGCTTACCTGTTTTTGTCTCGGGAGATTTCGCGCGTCATGCACTCGGGGTGATACTATTATAACAATAGCACGATCTTTTTCAATATCGAAAATAACATTAATCTGGTATGCGGCGGAGAATTCGCGAAGAATTTAGAGAGCACAGCTCAACTGAAAGGTTACATCGATATAAAAGATAGATTTATGAATTTATGGATCAGTATATTGCTTTGTCTCAATTAATTGCATATTGCAAATAAAAGATTAAATTTTGTATACAAGTGTATATGTATGTATAATATTGCGAAATATGTGAGAAAGATAATACATTTTATACTATATCTTCAATTTATGTAATATTTTGTACAATGTATTCAATATACATATTTATAAAAACTGAATTCTAGAAATACAATGTATTCGGTTTGCAAAGTTATGTGTAAAAATATTTCTTTTCGCGATTTAAATGTTTTATAAATGTACAAGATTAATTCAATATTTTGTCATATAAGAGATATTTCAAGTTTGCGGAAAACTCTCTAATAATTATAAAAATGGCATGTGATTCAAATGCAATTATCTCGTCATAAGGATATTATAAATGATAAATAAATATTCTTACAAGATGTCAATGCGTATGTACATAAAAAAAACGAACTAAGTCTATAATCAAATTCAAACGCAATCAAAGATCATCATTCATAAAGCGCGTTTCTCTGCGGTTGGATAATGATCTTTGATTGCGTTTGAATTTGACTATGATGACATCTCCACACCGACTTTTTATTCACGTACCTCAGAAATATTTTTTACAACTCTTATATGTAACTTATTGTTTAGTAATGAGCTAATGAAAGTCTAAAAAAGGGACCGAAACGTTCGCTTCTTTAGTTGATATTTTAATATTTTTTTATTTTTTTGCGCTTTTTATACCGCGCTGGCTCTTTTATTACCTGTTATCCTTTGTATTAATTATCATTATCGGAGCCTTATATAAATTATTTTATTTTATTTTCCCATTTACATGATTGGTTCTTGACGCGCCTAGTAAATTGATGATTTACGTGATTGGTTCTTACTTCTAGAACCAACAAATCAACGTCGAGTGTTGACAAGACGATGCTCAACAGTTGTTTTCTGAACGCGCCCATTGATACGATAGTTGGATGGATCATTGTAATTTTTCGTTGATTTAAGTTTAAAATTCTTGTATTGACTTTTATAAAAAATCGCATATTGTAGCACTTATTAATAAATTTGACAAGTAAAATGCATTGCCAGGGACATAAAAATTTTTACGTTTTACTAATAAAACCATAATAATCATTTGACGATTTAGATCTTACTTATTTAAAAATTATTTACTAAAAATTGTAGCAAAATACTTTTACCTAACGTAAAATTTCCCTGTTTTAATTTTTTTTATTTTTTAAAATTAATTTTATGGGGCATTCATGACCAAAAATTTTTGTCATAAATTATGAAAAATATTAATTACGACAACTATGAAAACGTTAAAAATCATATTATTTTGTGATACTTCAATTTCTTTTATCCAGATCTATTTATTTGATTTTCCAAGCAATATAAACATAAGAAATGTTTTCTTTTTTTAAGTTTTGATAGTTTCATACTACTATTATACCAGCCAAAAATCCTCAAGAGAGAGCACAAGTGAATATTATTTTTATTATTCATAATATATTGCTGTATGTTTATTGTGTTACATTATTTTACATAGATACATACATACATACGAATATATATAAACATTTATAATACTTATTGTTGCTCCTGCGAAATAGCGTTCCACGTGATAGTGTCGGACATAAGTTCCTCCACCTCGAGTATATATTTCAAATAATATTCCTGAGCGTCCTCGAGCAGCAAACTGGTGTCGTTCATCAATATGTTGATAAACTTGACGAAGTGCTTGCCATTATTACTCTCATTGACGATAGACGCTCGATGCATCGGGCTATGCCACAACGAATTTAAAATCACACTTATGTGATAACATACTGTAAACTTATCCTCAAATTCGGAATTAATGTTAATGATTTCAATGTCGGTATAAAACTTCATGAGATACGACGCCAGAAATGTCTTGGATATAGGATGTGCCATGAATTTGTGGCCAAAAGTTTCTGTTCCTCGTGTACAAACTCCTACCTGAACCTTATAAAGAACCTTGATGATTTTTGCAATAAGATGCGGATTTCGTATACAATGTGGCGTACACACGACGACGAGTAACAAAGTGATAAGCGGCGATATATCTATATCTATATCAAACCACGTTGGACAGAATCTGCAAATAAAACAATGTAGTTATAATTGTTAATAAGCTCCAGATAAGCATTATGTATAATTTGTGAGATTTGATAATTTAGTAAAAACTTACTTGAATGTGAATAACAAGAATTCCACTATGTCTTCCACGTACCATTCTGGTAATGCGGTAAATTTGCACATAACTTCTTGAGACAACGAAAGTTCAGAAAGAGGATTATTCGGAGCAGTCTGCGTTAGAAAATTCAGCAAAAATTCGGCGACCGAAATATAAAAGCGTAAGCATCTTCTCAAAAAGGTGGGCTCTATCAGAACTACTTCTGCACATAATTTGAATGTAACCAGTTGCTTCAACTGTTGCTTCCATTGTTTGATCAAGTCTATTGCGCTCCGCTAAAGGACCATCTTTCCATTGAGATTTTGTAGCTTGCAGTTCGTCGAGCATTTCTTGTAAATCCTTTGAGGCATACAATTTTCTCCGATAGTTTTGCAACGCCGGTAACAGCGCGATGTGATGACAATGCAGCGTGAGGAACCAACATTGTGTCGGAAACTTCGGTTCCGTCCATTTATGTGTGCTGTCCAAATGTTTCTGCCATTCCGCAACTTCTTGCGAAGTGAGTTTCAGTCTTGTGTAGTTCTTTATCTCGACGAAATTGGAAGGATGAAATGGATATAGCGGGTCTACAGTATCCAGCTTGATCTTCACAGAGAGCATTTGCAAAATCGATAATAGATTTAACATAAATCCATCTCCGGCCAAGGAGGGACTGTCCTCCGTCTGTATTTGCGCGCGTTTCTCGTTGTGATGTAGAAACGCCGCCAAGTACGCAAGAGTGGCATCGCGGCAGCTGCTATTCGCGAGTATCGTATCAAATATCTTGTGCAACGACGTTCTGGTACTCTCCAACCCTAGCTGCAGCATGAGAGTCGTCGATTTGTTCATGACAGGATTTTTATTGAAGCATTCCTCCAGCAGTTTTGGTTGCTCTTCGGCAGATACCAATGCCGAGACAAACGGTCCAAGGAGTGAGGTTTTCGAGAGTTCTCTTCCGGCTGCTGATGACATAACATCAGGCAAGAATTGAGTTTGAATCATTATCAAACGGCAAATCGGGTGTATATTGTTGTTTGGTCCACAGCGAATCTCTATCAGTTCGCTTGCCCGCTGGGGCTGAGCGGGCTGCCGGGCTGTCGGCTGACGATCGGCGTCAACGTGCTCGCCGGCGATTGGATGCTACTCCACGACGACGAGGCGGCGGTTGTCATGGAGGATGCAGCAGTTATCGCAAAAGACGGAACCAGTGATGCCAGAATTGAGACGCGAGCAACATGCAACCGAGGTGGAGGGGATAACACACACAAGCGCAAACAGCGTACGTGTGAGCTCGGCGCTTCGGCTAGCTTCGGATAACAGAAGAGGACAGATATACTGTTTTCTGTCTCTCTTCTTCCTATCGAGCCGGCAACTATAGCGACGGGCGTACGGGCGACAGGGACGGGCGACGAGCGACGGGCGACGGGCGATGTTGGACGGGCGACGGGCGATGTTGCTCGTTTCTCGATTCTTGATGCATGACAGCGTTAAATGTTTTTTTTACAGCCTATTAATGTGTTATACAATATTAAATGTTTTCTTTCAACCTTCTTCTTTAATATGTTTTAAATTAAATGATTTTTTACGTTTTTGATAATATATATTTATATCAGAGTTATAAGAGAGAATGCATTATTATATTAAAACAATACTCTGCTTTAATTTTTTTTTTTAAATTTATGTCTACTGCATATAAAAGTATTCGAGTAAAATACTCGAAGGTTGAACATTATATTAAACATTTCATATT